TTTTCGTCTTATTTTAGTATTGCTCGGCATCACTAATTCATTAACCAAACAAAAATACTAAACTGCATGCTCCTATTATTATTATTAGGGTAAATTACAGAAATCACATACTTTTAAGGTAAAATTACAATTTATCCCTTAAAAGTTTATAATTATAGAAATCCCTCAAATGGATACAATAATATAAGCGCTGATACATTAATCTGATACGCGAGATACAATAATATAAGCGTTATACTTAAAATCTATATTTAACTTAAATTACCGACATGGCAGACTTAGTTATGGTAACGTTGTGTTTGGCACACTAGACCATTTCCACGGTTTACTTTGTTTTGTTATAAACGTTATTTTTATGTAATTTTCTGAAACATTGGAATTCGATCATTAAAGTTATATATCGAAGAAAGGTTGTTCAATAATAAGTCCAATATATAAAACAATCATTTTAAAGTTGAATTCAAACATAAATCAAAAAGATCAATGAGCATAGAAGACGAATGACATCTTTTTATTTTTAACTAAAGATCTAATTATGAATTTAGATATGAGTTTAATATTGATTTATATATTTTCACTTACACAATATCGTCTAATATTCGATAATAAATTACAAATCTTAGACCTTGATTTAATTGTTTTTTTAAAAAGGATTTTTAGTTGATTAAAGGGAATCTTTAGACCGTGATCTTCCATTTTTTCTTATTTTTTTTATTTTGTTCAAGAAAAATCTTTAAATCTAAGCTAAAAAATTCATAAATTACAAAAAATGATAATTAAAAATGATCATTTAAGTCCTTAAAACAGTAAAACTCATCAAGCTGTGTTAGCCGTGATAAATCTAGGATAAGGATTTGTGAAACATCTAGTTCACTTTTTCCATGTGAGCGAATAAAAGATGGTGGAGAGAAAATAATGATAATTTTTTTCGTGATATTTAAATTTGAGATTTTTAATAGAAAAGAATTGTACTATATTTTTTAATAATATTTTCATCGAATATTGATTTATAACATGTTTAAAATAAAAAAAGTTCATTAAGTATATATATATATATATATGGGATTATCCAATTTCTCTACATGTTATACAAGAAAAGCACATACACTTATTAGTAAATGTTATCAAAACTATCACTACAAAATGGGTTGCAAAGGTATAACAATCAATTTTATGGTTCGTTTGTTGTTTTGACCTGAATATTTTATTAAAAGATAAAAGGAAAATCGTGAACATAATTTTTTTATAATTTATATAAAATAAATTGAAAAGATTATGTGTTATTATGAGATTTCTATGTGAAAATTAAAAATATTTATAAAAAATATATTGGTTGTATAAATAAAAATATTTATTAAAAATAAATTTATAATCTTCTGAAAAACAGTATGGAGCTTTGCTAAAACATTGCGTTTGTAGCTACTGAGTAATTTGCGAACAAAACTAGCTATGCAAACTTTACTCTTGCCGGCGGCTCGCCCCGGCATCGGAAGTGCGCCATTATTTCCTCCACCTGCCGGAAAACCATGGCGGTGTAGCTTCCTCCGATGCTCAAATACCCTAATTTCGTCCCCCTCATCGTTACCTTTTTCCCCTTTGAAAACAGAGCCTCTTAGTTCGCCTCTATTCAGACTCATCAGCAAAAGGGACAGAATCTTGGCTTCTGCTCCCGTTTCTTCACCCTTCACTTCCCCAAATGAAGAGTCTGAAAAAGCTAAGTTAGCTCAGGTACTTCCTATTTCTGCAGTATTTCCAGTTCCCCTTTGTAGCATCTGCAATGTGTACCTAATTGTTAAGGATTGCACCTTTCGATTTGTGTTAAGAGTGTTTTAGCTTTGTGAACTGAATTGGGTTACTGGGAGTGCTAATGGATATGTACTGAATCAATTGCTGCTTTTAGGGTTTTCTTTTAGTGTATGAAAAATTAATAAAAGTTGTAAAAATGCTAAATTTTGTCATTTAATGCTGTGTTTCATTAAGGAGCTTTGAAATTTGCTGCATATTTTTGGGTGTGAAGTAAAAATTGCTTTAATTGGATCCATTGTAGGTTCTGAAAGAATGGGTTTGGGTTCTTAATTGGGATTTTACTGTTTTGAAATGTGACAAACTAGTCGTGCTGCATTTTATCTTGTTTGATTGATGTATTTGAGTTGGTAGAAAATTTTGAGAACCCCTTCAGAGTCATATTATTGAGCATTGGAATGAAACTGTTCCAAATGGTATGAAATGGAAATTTAGGATTCATGTATCCAATCTTGACTAGTTTGGGATTGAGGCTTACTATATGTTGTTGTATTTGTGTCTTTGAGTTAGAGACTGATTGATGGGCTTTGCTCAAACATTTAGGTTGCAAAAAGACTACTGAATACTGCAAGCTACTTCAAGAGATTGGGTACTCTAGGATTTTGGGGACAGCTTGTATGTACGCTTGTTGCTGCGGTGATCCTTTCGTTTTCCATTGCTATTACGGGGAGGATTACATCGCCCTTCACATTCTACTCAACTGCAGGCGGAATTGCAGCTGCTTTCATTTCAGTTTTTTGGTCATTTGGCTATCTTCGTTTGTCTGAAAAGCTTCGGAAGACAGCTAATGACCCTTCAAAGGTAACACCCCAGATTTTTCTCAAATTGCTTTTTGAAATAGACTACAGTATGTTGGACTCTCATCCAATCAATATGCAAAAAGAAACAGTGAGAGATTCTTATTAACTTGATGTGAATGACTTGTAATTTTTGGTATAATAGTAATAGGAGTATTTATTACATGGATGTCACCTGAGATGGTGCTTCTTCAGCCATCCAGCTGGCTCTGAAATAAATGTACCATTTGTGAGCCAGATGATGTTTGAAGTTCTAGGTGCTATGAGAAGCTTATGATTCACGTAATCCAATTTTTGCTTCTGCTTTTCTTCAAATTTCCTGATGCTTTTCCTGAAGTTGGTACATTACATCCCTTTGAAGATACACGAAATATATTGGGATATTGATGAACAAAAAGTTTCATGGAGTTGCTCTGGAATGTTTGGTGCTTCCAGAGACATTACCTTCCCTTAGTGGAAAGAGTGCAACAGCGTATGATGTGGATTAGGTGCATGCCAGAAATTTGAACCCTGTTCTGTACAAAAGCTAAGTATTTATATGGAGAAGGATAAAAGGGAGGGGGTGGGGTTTTCATTATCCATTGAGTTTCGAATCATGCACTATTGGCCCTTGGGAATTCCCGCTATAAAAAACAAAGTTCATAGGTTCCAGTTTTGTGGTTATTTCAATTAAAGCTACAGTTCTGTTCCCGTTCTTTATGGGGTTGGGGACTCGGGGTAATGTGGATCAAGGTGGAATTTCTTGAACAAGATTTGCTAGTGTTTAAAGTAGCTTATGAATTCCCTAATTTTAGCTGTTCTTCTGCTAGCTTTATTGTATCTTGTAACTTCTGAAGTGTATCTCAAATGATTTGATGGAGCTGTTTCACTGACTGCTATTGTTGTAGGCTCCTCCTCGTGCTGATGTTGTGAAAAGCTTGCAAAATGGTATAGTAGTGAACCTTCTGGGAATGGGTGCTGCTGTACTTGGCATGCAAGCAACTGTAGGTATATTGGTGGCTAAGGCTCTTACCACATCAACTAATCCTTACCAGACTTTGACTCCTGGGAGCAGCCCTGTGCTTGCTTTGGATGTATTTCTGGTTCAGGTATGCCATTAAATTGTTCCACTGTTACCATTTGGTATCCTTTGTTAATGTATTAAAACACATTTCATATATTAACCGGTAATTGAAACTGACAGAACAACAAAAAGGAACAATTTGCTTTATATTATCTCATACATATTACATACACAAGTACTTCTAGGATATTTTATTTGGGGGTGCCATGCCACCTCTTGCCCTTTATCCCTTTGGAAGAGAAGAAGTTACATTTGGAGATGGCACTCTATTTTCTTTTCTTCCCCTCTCCACTACCCAATCATTTCGATGTCTATTTAAAAAACGTCAAGGTTTCTTATTTGTTATCACGACTAGGACTACTGTATGGAATTCCTGTGTGAGGTGAAGCTGGGTGAACCATGTTGGTCCCTTTTCACCTCTTGATCTTCATGCATGTGTAGTCTAATGTCAGTGACATGGTGCATTTTCGACGTGTTCAATGAGCTCAAGAGTTGCTAATCTCTGCTGTCCTACATGTTATCTTTACAGGCTTCAGCAAATACGATCGTTTCACACTTTCTAGGTCTAGTATTCTCATTGGAGCTGTTGCGCTCAGTCACCTTACCAACTTCAGACAGCATTCCGGTTCCAAGGATTGCATGACGTGCTTGGAAAATCAACATCATAAGACTTGAGAAAGCTTCAGCGATATGCTTTTGAGATCACAGCCATGTATTTACTGTAATATGAGTGACCTTCTCCTTGGTGACTTGCATTAAAATAATTTTTGTTTTTCCAATATCTGAGAGGCTTCTGATAAAAATTTCAATTACTGTCATTGTATTTGCTTTCTGGGGCATCTTTAAAAAAAAAAGGGTGAATTGTTTGCCACCAGTTAAAGACGCCTCTCACAGTGCAAGAAGAATCCTAACGCCCTCTTTAGCTGTGTTGGTCTACTAGGAAATAAAATATCGACCTCTTTCTTTCTACTGTATGTTTTCCCTTTTTTTTCTTCTCTGCAATGTTCCTTTTTCTTGTTTTAAATCTATTTATTCTTTGGAGTAAGACAAGTATGACAATGTTGAGAACATTTTAAAAGGAGTTGCAGATTTAGAATTTATTTTGGAAAATTGTCTGACATTTTCAAAATGCTCATAGTGGAATCCTGGTCTTAAACATACATGAATAACTTTTTTCTTCTCCACCTACCACACTTTGTATTAATTATATACCTGAATAACTTTTTTCTTATCCACCTATCAAATGTCATATAAGTCATACGGACTTTAATACATGAATAAGGCTTGTTTTATCCAGCTACCAAACGACCCCTTAGTGTTAACCATATCTTGAGCTCTTTAAATTGGCAAGTCGATTGCTTAAACAAAATCCAAAACACATTCATCAACACACACTGATGAATGTTGTGCCCTGCCCTTTCTGATTAACAGTAAATTACATAACAATGAGTAAAACCCAAGTTCTCATGAAGACAGTCCTGGTCCAACACATTAGGTTCTCTCCTGTAAAAATGCAATCCACAGTTGTCAGACAACGGGATAAGAAAGTAAAAATGAAGCAAATCTACATCTGGCATGATATCTGAAACTCAGCCCATAGAGGTTTTGATAGAAATTTTATTCAGCAATCTTACCAAATGAGGTTTGATATGAAAAAGGACGTGAGGTCTAACAGCTAGGAGCACAGACAATGGATTCGATGGTGAGGAAGGCACCTTTTCAGCTCAATGTGAGTTTTCTAGTTGGATTTGCTGCCAAATCATCGTTCAATGAGAATGGGTAACAGGCTCGTGGAATTGAGGTCAGAAGCAAGGATGGCTATATATCTGGGAGCAAACTCCAGGCAGATATGAAGCGCATGCATACAAGTTATGCCTTGGAATAAAAGAATTGAAAATCCTCTTAGTCCACGAGCAAGGAAGCTCTATATATCTCATGGAGAGGTTGATCCAGGCCCAGATAAAGTTTGGCGGCAGTGAGATGGAAACTGGCCATTCCAGTGGCAGACAGGTGATATACTACTTACAGTTCAAAAATTCAAATAGCTTATTACCATACCTGCTTATTTTGATGTTCTATCTTCTCATATTTGTAATGTGATATTATAAGGAACACACTTTCCAGACTTCAATTCTACATGTTTATATGTTATCCACCCTTGGCTCTTTATCTTAGAGTACCAAAAGAATAAGCCGCTACTATCACATAATTCACCATACGTGAATCGCTTAAAGCTACAAGATAACTTGTCCAAATGAAGTGCACCAGCATTCCATCTAATCATTTTAGAAGATTATCATTTCAAATTGGGTCATAAATCAAGCATTAATGTAGGAACTACTCCATGTTATCTTGAATCAAGGCACACATTTTTAAGGATCTCCCACACATTATATTACTATAATAAAGAAAAAAGGATCATCTTAAAATAAATGAATTAAGAATAAATAAGAAGATCAATCTGGTTTACATACGTCAAGAACAATTATAACAAACCACACGTATATTATTGGTTAATTACTCGAAAAAGGTCTCATACCGTCATTGAACATCTAGCAATCAAGCACCTGCTTGAGGAGACCTGATCTGTTGTCCCAATTCCTCATCAGCCTTTTTAAGAAACTCATCCCAACCACTACCTGGACTAGTATCCAGGTAATCATAAGGAACAGCAGTTTTCAAACCAGGACGAACCCCACACTGGCTTTCTACAAGTCTAAACTCCAAGTGATCTCCCTCTTCATTCGAATTAACTTCCAATTCCTCCCAGGCGAAAAGCAAAGGCAAGGTAAATGCTCCCCAAGGATTGAAATCCAAAAGCTTGACCCGGTCATCATTTGTGACATATATATCAAAAGTATAACTTTCTGATTCAAAATTTCCCTTCACCTTATATATAAAAAATCTCTGGATTATTGTTATCAACTCATCTTTCTTCTCAACAAGAGCAGGATAAAATCCAGTCACCTCGCGCTGAGAGACCCCCACAAGGATCCCATTGCGTACAAAGCAGCGAAATTCCATCTCGGGGCGCAGGGATGAGTACCATTTGCGAAGTGCAAGGAAAAACTTTGGGGGCCTTGAGACAGTCTTATCACTGCAGGAATCATACACATGGCACAGATCATGGACTAGAGAATCCGATGCCCGTAGTAAAATTGCAACCTCACTGAAAGAGTTGCAACAAAGATTCCCAGTTGAACTGATCCATGCAGCATCTTTTGGTGCACTCCAATTAAGCTTAGGGAAGATAGAGCCCCCAAGGGACTTTATAGATTCCTTGATTTTCATTTCCAGTTCCGGGAAAGAAGGAGGAGGTGACGGTTGTTCTGATTCATCTTCAGACCCTTCAGATACTTCAAAGTCTTCCTCTTCTTCAGGTTTATGAATCCTATTAGGCAGTGCATCATTATCATCAATGGAAAGGGGGAGAAGGAACGGACCATGATCATCAATAAGGTACTCTATAAAGGATTCAGGCAGCTCATGAATCATTGTTTTTATGGAATCAGATTTAAATCTGGGATACCACTCCTGAATCTGGCACCTATTTACTTCTTCCTCTTTCATTTTCTTAGGAAAGTAATAAACTTTACCTCTGAAACAAAAATTATCAATAATCAAATTTACTATAAGCAGCTGCTAAAGGTTAAAAAATATGAGCCAACAAATACAGAGAACCAAATGAATGAGGTTTGCCTAACAAAAAAATAATGATTTAAATGGATTTTATGAACCAAGATACAAGGAAAAGAAAACGGAGCGAACGTTTGGGGTATCAACACCTATCCTAATTACATCTACACATGCAATCAAGTCAAGTATTAGTTGGATTTGTGCACAGTAATCCCAACAACAACAAGCCAGTTCAGTGGAGGGTAAGGAAGTACGCAGACTTTATCCCTAAATTCTAATTTATTGCATGATGGAATTACTCGGCAAATATCAAATTTTGCAGTTGTACGTAGTTTTTACCCTTTATCTTAACAATTCACTCATCATACTATTATATAGCTAACATAACTATTTAATTAAAAAGGAAACAGAAAACTCCGACTGTTAACAGCAACAGCCTGAACAAATCAATCATCACCAACGTTAAAGGCACACGTTTTTTTTTCTTTTTCTTTTAAAGATTTGAAGCAGAGAAGCTGAGAAAGTAACTACAATCGAATGGAAAAAAAAGGAGAGAAAAACTTACTGCTAGCCACTGAAAACGCAGAAAAAGGTATGCAGAGATGGAGGAAAGGAAGAAGAGACCAAAGATGAAGAAACCGCTGGAAGAAAAGAGAAATAGAAAAGAAACGTTAGGTCTAGAGCTTTTGGTAATTGAGGGTAATGTTGGAATTACAAGAAAATTATAAGGGAGATTACCAATTCGACTCAAGGTCGGCGGCTTGGCGCTAGTACAAGGTAGCTTATTTTTTAAAAATTAAAATAATTTTGCAGGCTACTTACGGTTTATTTAAAAAATTTATTTATTTATTTTAATTGGAATTTCTCATAAAGATATTTAAATAAGTCATTTTCTTTTTATTTAATTTGTAATTGGCGAAGAAATTTATTTCCTCCGAAGCTTCTTAAAATTAAAAGAAAATTAAAAACATTTTGTTTATGCTCTTCCTTATCTCTCCTATTTCTCTTTAAAAAAAGGCATAAATTGGACTCACTTTTCACTTCTTTTTCCAAGATTTTCACTAATCAACCTATTAATTCGAGATTGGGTCATAAAATTAACTAATTAATTAATTGACGAAGAATCAAGAAAAATATTCATTTATTCTTTAAAAAAATAATTCCAATACATTGTTATATTCCTATAGATATTTCTCTTTCTCTTTCTAACCAAACAATTACTTTTGTACACCTATTGTGATTCCTACTACAAGAGTATAGGGACAAGCATCCATATGATCCCATAGACTTATTTTAAGGATTCCAATTCAAAATACGGAAGAAACAAGTGTTTCCACACTCTTACCACCTAATCAATTCGATTCCACTTAATTCCTCTTTCATGACACATATCTTTCCGGCTAAGGAATTGGAAATCTTTCGCCTGTTACATGAATCCAATTTTCATTTCTATCAATAGAATCCAATATAGTACTATCGAAAGCATCATTACAAATGATCAACCTGATTCATTGAGCAGTATTTTTGCTTTACTACACCACTTTGACGACTCCATCAAACATGATAAAATACTGTCCATTAATGTTCAAACAAAACTTTGCTAATTAACATAATATAGAACACAATGCGTTATCATTTTCTACAACACAATATTGGTCAATACTACTGTAAATAAAACATGATATTTCAATGTCATTTGGGAATGGAGGTCTGCCTGCTAATAGTAGATTCCCAACAATAAATTAGCGGGAAAAAACATAACCAAAAAAAAAAGTAAAAAAAAAGAGAGAGGAAGGATGAAATTCTGCAAATTGATTAAACTGCAACACCCCACAACATTCATATCAATCAAATATAGCATTTCTCCACCATCACCCCAGCCAGCCAAAAGGGAAACCTTTTTTTCAAAGTTACATTAAAGAAATTTGTGTGAAAGAGCTGACCATCAACTACAAAGGTGAGATATCAACCCAAAAAAAAAAAAGGAAAAAACGAGCTGCAGTTACTTAGGTGCTCAAAGTAAACTAGATTAGAGTACAAATACTAGGAGACAAGCATAATAGAGATTCTAAATCAATAGCAAAAGAGAACTTCTAGAGTATGCACTGGCTCCATTGAAATGCTTGTGGATTACTAATCAAAATGACCATGCCACTATTTCAATGCCAATCATATAAACCATTACTTCATCTGCCACAGACACTTCCACTAACAAAGGTCATCGAGAACCATTCACAAAAATAAGAAAAACACTAGTAAGTTCAGCCTTCTTTAAAACTCTGCTTTGCAAGGCAATCAAACCTCATCCCAACGATGTTGGATGATGCAATCCTACAGGTCAACCTACAAATCAATAAAACAGATTTCAGAAAATTTTGAGAATGAAGTTTCAGTCATGAACACAGAATAATGCAGCTAAGCTATCTGCTTTAATCTTACTCTACTTTCAAGGGGAAACAAAATTGAAATGGAAGAAAAACAGTTGTGCAATCAAGAAAAGGAGCAAAGGGGACATATTCCCTCTCATAGTTAGCAGAAGATCGAAGGTGAGGGTGGAAGCAAAAAGACCTGTACTTCTACAAGCTGCCTTTGGATGTTGAGTGAAGGAATATTTCAAGAACTTAATTCTCTATCTGGTTCATGTAAATCATAGCTCTAAGCTAAAATCAGGACACGAGCTAAGGATCTCACTCCAAAAGTCATTAACAAGCTAATTGCCCGTTTCACGTTTCAAACCCACAGGTATCCCTTTGAATCCAAACCCAGAAACTTATATCAGCAATTATGAAGTAATCTAAAGATTCAAAAAAATCCCAAATTAGTGTATCCGGTTAAATCTATTCTGACCAACTTGTTTAAACTTTTGAGTAATTTAAGAGAGTGAGCACACTGTAAGGGATTAACGGAAGCTTTTATAAGCACAAGGCTTATTTAGAAAACTAATCACAATTATAGAAGGAATAATTATGTATAACTAATTCTTGGCATTAAGAAAAATAAATTATATCAAAAGTAAAAGCACTTTTCACCTTTAAGTCTCCTTTATTTCCATTTGTTCTAAGAAAAAATTACTTTGCATTCCAAGAACCTTTTTAGTTTGTCTAGACCTATCGCAGAAAACCTCTAGTATTAGGGAACTAGTAATTTGTCTTAACAGATGAACAATTGAAAATTGGATCCAAATGGCATAGAATGGATATTGATGATTCCTACTACCTAAAAAAACTAGTTTAGGAATGAGGTGCAGTAACAGTATAGTGGTTGTTGCATGGTTATATCTATTCTATCCGTAAGTAAGTGGCCTATTTTATTTTTTGCTAATAAACAAGGTGATCTTTGACTATACCATCAGTGTATGAAGTCAGTAAACAAGAGAAAGGAACTCATAAATTTGCTAGATTTTCTAAAATAAAGTAATTAATTTCGATGGGAAAAAAACAAAAAAAACTCATAAGGTAACTTTGAAAAGAAGGTAGCATGGGAAAGGAGAAAATGGAGTGGGGGGAAAAGTCAATAGGAGGTGGACTATAATTACACCTCTCTTTTTTGCTAACGTCCGCTACCAAAAACACAGATTCCCTCACTCCCTTATTTTTCTAAAATATTAACAAAATATGAATACCTAACTTTTGAGTCAGGAATTATCGAAAACGATCTTTCTATTTTATAAAGATAAAGATAAAATCTATGTATTTTTTATTCTTCTTCAATTTCACTTATAAAATTATATTAAATATTATAATTCTGTATAAATCTATAATAGAGGCTCATTCATGGTTTTAAATTTTCTAGGTTTAATTTTAAAGATTAGGCATTGAATTCATTACATTATTAGAATTCTTGGTTTGATAATATAGATAATTTTTTAAGTGATCAGTATAATTTTAACTTGTTGTGAAAGGTTATTTGCTAGAGTTTTTTTGAAACCTCAGATAATCCGCAGCCGTTACAACCTCTGCCGAAGTCTTCGCTCTTCGAGTGAGCACTTTGTGCGCATTGGGTAAACCCCCCCGCAGGTTACTAATTTTACTTAATAATCGTTAAAACTGACCTGATAGAGAAAAAAAAGTTTAACAATATCAGTACAAATAAGTTATATTTAGAACAAAATGAGGACAGAAACAAAGTACTTCAATATTAGCCATTCACTTTGTTTTCCTATACTTACTCAAGTACCCTTTTACTACTACTACTATATATCAATATCAGATTATCAATATTATCATCTATGTAGCAGAGTGAACCAGAACACTATTCTTTTTTTTTGCCCAATACTTCTACATCCCTTGCTGCCTTTTTGGTCACCAAAGCAACTTCTCTAGTAGTTGGTTTACCTTTTCCTCTTTCTTCTTATGTATATAGGAGTATTATGCTGTAATCATGAATAATCAGTTCAAGAAATGATGACAAACTCAGATCAGTACTATTCTTTCTGGTCATTTGGGGTCTTTTTCTTTCTTTCTTTGTGTCCTTCATTTGGTCTCAACATAGATGGAACTCTCTTGTTGTCTTTCAAATACTCTGTTCTTGAAGACCCTTTATCATTTCTTGATAATTGGGACTATAATGATGCAACCCCATGTTTATGGACTGGTGTAACTTGTGCACCAGACATGTTTAGAGTCATTAGTTTAGTACTCCCAAATTCTAAGCTTATTGGTTCTATTCTAGAAGAATTAGGATTTATTCAACATCTTCATACTATTGATCTTTCAAATAATTTCTTGAATGGAACGCTACCTGTTTCACTTCTCAATGCTTCTGAACTTCAAGTTCTTTCACTGTCAAACAATGCTATTTCTGGTGAGCTTACTGAGTCTATTGGAGGGTTGAAGAGCTTAAAGGTTCTAAATCTTTCTGTCAATGCATTTGTAGGAAATCTCCCACAAAAGCTAAGTTTTTTGCAGAATATAAAAGTTGTTTCTTTGAGTAAAAACCTATTTTCTGGTGGATTTCAGTTTGTTGAGGTGTTGGATCTTTCTTCTAACTTGTTGAATGGAGCATTGCCTGATAATTTTGATGGGGATAGTTTGAAATACTTGAACTTTTCTTCAAACAAGTTATCTGGTTTAGTGTCACCACAATTTGCAAAGAAAATACCAGCAAATGCTGCAATTGATCTTTCTTTCAACAGCCTTACAGGTGAAATCCCAGAGTCAATAGACTTATCAAACCAGAAAACAGAGTTTTTTGCAGGAAATACAGATCTTTGTGGAAAACCACTCAAGAAACTCTGTACAATCCCTTCAACGCCTTCATCTCCACCTAATATAACCACTAATCCTCCAGCAATTGCAGCCATTCCAAAGTAAATTAACTCAACCCCACTTCCTGAACAAAAAACTGTTGTTGGCAAAGTGTGATCTAACATAAGTTTGTACCAACTGATTGCCTCTTCATCACATTATAGAATGAACATGTGATAATTAGAGACTTACAAATAAAACATGGAGATATACTTGACATTTTAGCAAATAACCCCTCTTCAGGAAATACCAGAGAAGTTGGATGAGTAGATCTGGAAAGCTATTTTTGCCCTTTTCCCTATGTTTCCAAATTTCTCCCAAAATTAAGCATCTAGAGTACAATATGTTGTTCGCTTAAAAAATCTGTCTACAATGGACAGAGGACTATCAACGTGCCCATAAAAGGGAAAGGTCTTTAACGAGGGCAATCATACATTGGTGATCAGGGTATAGCTGCATTATTAAAAGTCTTCAGGAACCTCACGATCCAATTATTCTTCTACTTAAACAAGAAAAAAAAAGGAAAATTCATCCCAAAACAAGTCAAGCAGCAATAAAATAACTCTTGTTAGTGCCCCTTGTATTAGGATATCAAGAACTTATAGCAGAACAAATGTATTTTGCTTACAGATCAAAGGGCATGACATAAAGGATTCAGAGCAGAAGAACATAAAGTATTTCGATAAGCAAATGTTTAATTCTATATTCATTTCACAAGTTAACAGAACCCAGACATCCTGTGAAGATATGCATAGGACAGAAAGAGAAAACTGCATGTATATCTTTATATCTGAGAGAAAGAGAAAGTAAGAGAAAGGGATGAGGCAAGACATTACAGTTTACTGAGTCTTCTTTTCCTTATTTGAAGACCTTGAAATCTTTCTCAGTACATTATCATCAATTTTCTTGTACTGTGTCTGAATGACCTTTTGTGCTATAATAAGCTTGTCATCAATTTGATTTTGATACTTGTCGTACAGCAGAGGCACAGACAAACTAAAAAGAATTCCTGTAGGAAAGATACACAATTCAGTCAACTATAAATCCCCAACAACAATTTATATCACCTGAAAAGAACCCGACTCACCCATGTAGATGAAAGTGAGGAGGTTGAAGAAACTACCAACATAAGATATCAGCCACAAGACAAGAGAAACCTGATAAACCAATCCATATTAATAAGATGTAAATGTGAAGAAAATATGGCGCCAATAGCGTGACAAACATGATGCCTGAAATGGAAGGGGTCCTATAAGAACAGACCTTAACAAAAAGTTTTAAATTCCCACCAATAGCAATATCATGGGCAATCATCAGGACATGATTGATCCAAACACGCATCATGTCAGCAGCCTTTACGACAGATTCCTCGTGAACCTCCAAATCAGGGATAGGAGGTAAAGGCCTGGAATTGTACAGACATAATTGATTCAGTTTTCCACAAAAAGTCTTACTACAGCATAATCATTAAAGGATCTCAATTGCTCAACACAATCAGAACCATAATTGAAATGCACGCCCCAGTAGAAAAGGCAGAGAAATGCAACAGCCAGAGGCAGATCTACTTCAGGTGCACCCCTGCCTCAGTGCCAAATTAGCCTGACAGTAGGCTTCAATTTTCAAAAACTAAAGACAAAATCAATGATCCACCAATCTTATTCAGAGAGCAACCAGAAATTATCTCGAAAAAAGTTGGATAGCGTGACATGCACTTATTACATTACCTGTTAAGAAGTGAGGCAGATTTAGCCCAGAAGAAGAGAATCACAACTAGAAGCAACATAACATTGGCAACAAAGGAAAGGACATTATATCCAGCTCGCTCAAACAAAATCCAAAGCGCAGTGGAACTGACTAGCAGAGTAACACTAGCACACCATCTCCTCCACAACAGCACATCCGCCACTGCAATTCAAATTTAACCGCCTCAACAAAACATTTCCTATCGAATAGTATTATTTTCCTAGAGAAGCCGAAGTTGATTATCATCGTGATCAAGTGTTACTTCAAAATCCATAGTGAATTGATGCGTTAATTGATAATTGCAATAAGGTCAATATCAAATCTGAATTTCTGTAAATGCATGAATTGGGCTATGGATGCAAATATAGAGAAAGACAAGAATATACAGAAGGCAAAACGCAGACGTAGGATGAGGAAGAAACCTGAGCCACCACCAAGAGCATGATGTACAAAAGACTGACGATTATCTCCCATGGCGATTAGGGTTTCTGCCTAGTCTGCAACCGAAGAAGGAGGGCAGTGATGAAATCGCAGGGAGGGCGACGACGGTAATTTTTGGTAAATCAGTTCAACTTCAAATATGCCAGGCGCACTAATGGATTAAACAATACTTAACATAATAAATCTGAAGGACGAGGAAATAAAATACTCCCGATCAGAAAGAAAGACGTTATGCTAAAGGTAAAAGGTAAAGTCTCTTTCTTTTCTTTCTTTCTAGTAATTTTTTATTAAAATGTTTCACTTGAGTAATTTTTATGTCTTAAGATTTATTGTGCATTATTTACGTGAGGCTTTTTTCTTGCCTCGTAAAAAATAGACTAAATCTTATACTTTTAGTTTCACAAATTTGGGTTCACTTTTTGTGTGACATAAAATAATCTCACACAATTAATGGCATTAGGCATATAATCAAGACTGCATTCTATTCGCGTTGCGACTTTAGTATATCAATTTTTTTCAAATTTACTTTCACCAACTGCGTATTGTTCCGGCGGTTGAAGCCTAGAGAGTTTTTGATTATTTCACTTATGCTTCTAGAAAAGAAAGGATGCAAATTAGGTGTTGGTTTCTTAAATTGTACGCAAAAGAGAGTGATGACATTTTGTGATGTCCACCACCAACTGCCAGTGATGCGGTTCAATGATTCAACTGTAAATGATAGGATTGGGGCCTCCCAAAGACTAATATTTACCATTAATGCTGACAATGATAATGTAAGATAGTGTTAGCAGCCAAGTTTGCCCGTCCATTGACCATCTAGATTTACGATTCAAAGTTTCAAGCCCAACATATTCTAGAGGACAGTCTTTTTCAACAAAATAAGACAGAAAAGAACCGGAATTAAACATTTTCGATTTCAAAAAGCTGTTCATAAAGTTACTTATGTTACATGATGATCTCAAGTTTTCGAACTATATAGCTCCTGATCCATGCATCAGGGCAGTGCACAATAAATTTGAAGCTAGTCACCTCTCCCTCCTTAGTGGTGGTCGGAGTCAGCTTCGTCATCATCAGATGACTCTTCCCTACGGGTTTCTTCTCCACCTGCACCAGAATTACTCTTCTTCTCCTTCTTCCTCTGCTTTTTCTTCTGCCGCCTTGCGCGTTTCTTTGCTGTCCGCTCTTCCGCAGCTTTTACTTTTTCTTCTCTTCTCAAGTTGAATTCAGCAACTTCTTTCCTTCTCTGGTAGTCAACATCCATCCTTGCAAGTCTGTCTTGTTCTCTCCGTCTCATCTGCCGATACTGCAAACAATACCAAAAAAATGTTATTTCTGACACTTGGCACTGTCTACTTATTCTTTAAAACCAGATATAACCTAATCATAGTAAATCACTTCTTAGTAACACCACACACCATTCAACAGATTGAAATAAATGGCGAATAACCAAAATGCAGAAAATACCTATGATGAATTACATTTTTCAATAGACATCTTGAACAAATATAGGATGAACATTCTAGATTATGGATCCTACATATATATCACGACTAAGAAAAAGGAAGAACTTTGTCCACTTGTATGTCTTTGCAATGGTTCATATCATACAAAACATATATGCACATATAAAGAGACCTTGAATACTACTCAAGAGCATTTGAACTCAAAGCAGCACTATGAGTCACTAAAGTCAACATACGTCATAATTATGGCAGTCTACCTCAATGCACTTTGCCCATGATCTTCACTGAAAATGTTTGTCAGTAAGGACATATCTGATCCTTTTGACAATTTATATATGCAACAACAATGCAGACATTCTCTGATAAACAACAAGCACCTTATGCATCCTCAATCAGTGCACACCACCACCACCCCTAGAGTGCTATCTTATTGGCATTCCCTTTCTTTACAAAGCAAGCAATATACAAGAGATGGCTCTTCTGCTCTTTAAGTATTGCCTTTGCAATCTCTTGCTTTCTTGTGCCAATGGACCTCAACTACTTCCATCCCCATCCTACTACTTCAGCTATTGCTTTATTTATTCAAACAAACACAATCTGCAAACAGGTTCCTTGGAAGCTTTACCTATTAAAAAAGGTTCTTTGGAAACTTTTGCTCGAGAAACTAACTATATTGCCAGCCAAAGACTTATGGTTGAAAATTAAACTCGACAAGAAAAGTCAGTTAATGGGACAATAATAAAGTAGCCAGAAGACATTTCAAACCAAAGTTCTACTCCAATGTGCCACTAAACTATCAATAACGCAGAAAAAGTGATGCTGGAATTTGGAAGCATCTCTTGTGAAGCTGTCAGTGTTGAAAAACAAGTCATTGCTTCTGCGGAAAATTATGGCCCTTCTGTCCCCCATGGCTAATCTAGCAGGTCAGGCCAAGTGATTCATTCTTTCTAGTTGAAGTAGTAGGAAAGTAAGGGTAGAAGGGGGTTATGCCAAAGTGGTGAACAGGACTACTACTTTGGGCTTTTTCCTCCATAAGATTAGCCCAAAAATACGCGAACTGATGGATTATAAAGAGCACCTAGACACTCTAAGGTAGGCATAAACACCATCAGGCTATCTAAAACTAATCTAGCTTTTCATCTGAAAATTCCTAGAAAATATAGCCACCATGACAAGGAGCCCTATTATTGGATTCTATAGTATCACCTGAACATTGTAAGATACGTTTGTGTTCAGGTTGCCGAAATTCTCGAGGAGGTTTGAGTTGAACAAAATTATATCTTTACTGCTCCACAAACCAAAAATGACAACAGAAGGAAAAGGGTTTTAATACGACACTGAGTTTCTTCTTCCTGACAAGAATTAGGGACACATAGGATATTTACTCAATCACATTGCATGATAAGAACTTAAGCAAAA